TGGCCAGGATGTCAAGAAAGGGAACTGTAATACACTGCTGATGGAAATGCACATTATTGCAGCCACTATAGAAAACAGTATGGAGTTGCCTCAGAAAATTAAATATGGAACTCCCATTTGACCTAGTCATCCCACTTCTAGGAATATATCCTAAGAAACCCAAAACTCCAATAAGAAAGGATGTATACACTCCCACATTCATAGCAGCACAATAGCTAAGCTCTGGAAACAGCCCAAGTGTCCATCAGTAGATGAGTGGATAAAAAGTAGTGGTACATTTACACAATGGAATACTATACATCTCTAAAAGAGAAAGAACTTACCATTTGCAACAGCATGGAAGATCCTGGAGAGTGTTATGCTAAATTAAATAAGCCAGTCAGAGAAATTCAAGTATCACATGATCTCACTCATATATGGAATCTAATGAGCAAAATAAACTGATGAACAAAGTAGATCCAGAGACATAGAAGCATGGAAAAGACTGATGAACTCAGAGAGGGTGGTGGGAAGAGATTAACAAAAGAACTTATATTCATATATGCAAAGCCCATGGACACAAACAATAGTGTGGTGAAGGCCTGGGGAGGTGAGGATGGGGGTGCTAAGTGATACCAAATTTATCTCTGAGTTGTATACTCCAATCTTGATTCCTTATCAGAAAGGTAACCATTGAATAAGAAATAATCTCAGAGGTTTATATTCAGTAAGAAATCTCAAGAGTACAAAAATCTATTCCTTATATACTAATAAGATTGCATGTACCATCCCAGAAATCTCCAGGGGAAGAGATTAGAGTCTATGCATATCAAAATTCTCCCTTAAATATATATATATATATATATTAGAGGGCCGGTGCACAAAATTTGTGCTCTGCGGGAGGAGGAGTCCCTCAGCCTGGCCTGCAGTCTGGGACCCCTTGGGGGATGTCCACCTGCTGACTTAGGCCTGCTCCCTGGGGGATCAGGCCTATGTTGGCAGTCAGACATCCCTCTGGCAACCCAGGAGCCCTCAGGGAAATGTCCAACTGACGGCTTACAGGCCTAAGCCATAGTAGGACATCCTTAGTGTTGCCTAGGAGGAAGGAGAGGCTCCCGCTACTGCTGCTGCGCTTGAAGCTGTCAGCCTTGCTTGTGACTGAGAGGATCTCCCTCTGTGGGAGCGCACTGACCACCCAAGGGCAGCTTCTGCATTGAGCATCTGCCCCCTGGTGATCAGTGCATATCATAGTGACTGGTCATTTCCTGTCATTCCACCCTTAGGTTCAATTTGCATATTACCTTTTTATTATATAGGATATATGTATGTTTCACTGAAGTACTGAAACCACAAAATTTAAACTAAAAAAATTACTAATGAGGCTCAAACCAGCATCTATATTATGTGTTCATTTTCATGAAATTTGCTCCCCCCGTGCCACACACACAGGCATCTTAGTAATCTTCAGTTACTCCCTTAGCCAATTTTATTTAAGCTTATTGCTTTATTGTGTTAGTTATGCTTGTTCCATGGAATACTGAAAATTTGAAAACCTAAACTAAAATTTTTATAGAATAAGGTGCTAATCTTGAACATGGTCCTGTGGGTACTTTAATTTTAAATAACTGTAAAAAATTAGTCCAACCATAGGAATAACTTGGAGTGTGGTCCTAGTCCCCAAAGTCATAGTATGGTTTTGAATTTAGAGTTATACAACCAACAAAATAGCAGTTTCTGTATCTCTTATTATCTAGGAATAGTATACAGATTGCATTTTCTTTGTTAATTCTAACCTATCCCCAGCTTGCTTCTTTCCCTAAAACCACTAACAAATAAGAAAAGTAACTTCTTTACAGTTTACATTTCTCCTTCTCTTATACTTTCTTCTGATAAATACTACTGAACTAAGATATGGAAAAAATGTTGGCTGAGAAACAGAAAATGTTATACAAAAATTTTACTAAAACTCATAGTTTATATAATAAGCACCCAAATAGAGACTACTAATTTCTATAGTTGATATCAGGTATAATGGATTTTAAAATATGGTTTCAAATTACAGGAGACACTAATTGTACTCACTAAAGTTATATGGGTGATATCTTAAATTACTGATTTAAAACTATGAAATTTTTAGAAGTTTATTTCTAGAAGGAATTTGTTTCATTGATTTATCATTTAAAAAATCCTAAGTGTTTTTCCATCAATCTTGATTTGGATGTTAAGTGAGATGAGTGGTACAGAGAATTTTGCCCTAATGAAACAATCCAGGCTTATATGATACAGTTTGACTGAAGTATACTACTCAAAAGCTTTTTAAAAAAAATAAATGGCCATTTTATGATAAAAATAATATTGCAAGCCCTGTACTGTCATTAGTTAAGGTCTTTCTTCTCCTGATAATTCACTATGTAAACTTAGTCGGGTCAATTGCATTTCTTGAACTTCAGTTTCTCTGCTTTGCAAGTAAGATCAGAATGATTAATATCATGGAACTTGGCATTAACACCTTAGGTCCTAGAATAAGTGTTCCAAGATTGATGATATATTTGAGATATGTTTTAAATCTTTTGGGAAGAATGGTCCTAGGTGAAGAAAAAGTTAATTGTGTTAATATCTAAGAAAAAGGCAGTTCTAGCAATTGGTATACCTCAAATATTTGTTCAGTGTACCAGTGTTGCAACCTAGTAATATACTGAAAAACATTTTTGAAGAGGTTTTTATGCAATAGTGTTGTAGATTGCCTCAAATATTAAAGTTTTTCTATTTCATACTACACTTATTTTGCCAGTCACCTATGTGAAGTGCAATGACAAAGAAATAAATAGAAGTACTTCTTTGATTTTAAGATCTGCCCACTAGAATTTGGAATGTCAAGTTTGCTATTCACTTGACTTTTTAATACTCTAAGCACATGTTCAGTGAATGTTAATTGCAACACTTTGCCCTCTCTTATATAGCTCCTTCACAAATACAAATTGAACTAAATACAATGATATATTCTTCACAAACTATTATCAGTCAATGTCAGCAAAGGCTTTGTTTTACCTGGACTGGGTTAGTGGTAAGCAACAGTTATAGAAGAAAATGGCATCGTGTCCTATTACTGAAACCTAACAACTTAAAAATCATGTAGTACTCTCAGGTGACTGCTTTGTAAATACTGTCAATTTCAGCAAGAAATTCAAGAACTCTTTTTAAAACTTTACACAGAGAAGAAAAAAGGGGGGGGAGTACAGGAGAGAAGGAGGGAGGGAAGGAAGAAGGGAGGGGGAGAAAGAGAGAGAGATTTGTTGTTACACTTATTTATGCATTCATTGTTTGATTCTTGTATGCACTCTGACAGGGATCGAACCCACAAACATGTCATATCAGGATGATACTCTAACCAAGTGAGCTACTTGGCCAGGGCCAAGAAATATTTAATAATATAATGTTTTTCAGACAGGAGTTAGTTTTTTTCTTAGTTGCCTGACAAAAAGGAGGAAGTTTCTAATGTTGCCTCTCTGCTATAAGATAAAAAGCAAAGGATTTGTAGATCTCACTTCCTTTAATAAGGATAGTAGGAGCATACTGTCTTATTTCAACAGTGGATTGCATATGTTCTCCGACATGCCCCATTTTTCTGTTCCTTAATTAGGTCATGGGAAGCTTGCATTTGTTTTGGTTCCCTTGGGCTTTCCATCCAAAGCCCACATTACAAATAATGCTGTCTAAAAATTTCTCTGATATGCTACATTATTTTTACCCTGTTTCCCCGAAAATAAGACAGTGTCTTATATTAATTTTTGCTCCCAAAGATGCGCTAGGTCTTATTTTCAGGGGATGTCTTATTTTTCCATGAAGAAGAATACGGTACACATTTATTGTTAAATGAAAATAAAGGAAATTTATTACCTGTATACGATAAGGTAGTACGGTAGTTGTCAACACAAACCAGACAAACTGTGAATCCTACAGTATCAAGAATTTACTCATTTATTCAATGACAATCATGTCATCATCTTCTGGAACATCATCATAACAATCCAATTCCTGAGTTTCCTGGTGAATTTCTTGTGACTCCATTTCTTTCAGAATCAGTGGACCAAATCTCTCATGTTTAGCCTAGGGGGGCCTTATTTTCGAGGGATGCCTTATATTTCACTCAGAAGGAAACCTGTAAGTAGGTCTTATTTTTGGAGGATGTCTTATTTTTGGGTAGTATTGAGAGCAGCAAATCAGTCGTTTTCTTTATAATTTTTTATGGTCAAGTGGGCATCAACACTGTCAGCCATATAAAACTTGATTGATACTTTATTTCTCTTGTATGGATGCATGTTTTGCATCACTAGTAGAAATGATTACACATAACAAAGCTTAGTTCATGGCTCTTGACTTATCCTAATTACTCTCGGTAGAGAAATGACCAGCACTCTAAATATATCATTACACAGCTAGATTCACTGGTTCAGCTGTGCCCCGGTGGGTGTTTGGTCATCTGTGGATATATGGGCATAGTCTAAGAAAAGAAAAATTACTTAATCTTTTAAAATTGTTGAAGTTTAGTCTAAAGTAAAAAAAGGTGAATTTCTTTCTCAATGGTTAAGTTCTTTGTCCCACTGAAGTACAAAATAGGTTTTTGTGAAATGTGTTTTTCTCTAAAAGACAGCATAACTAGGCAGGGGTATTTTAATAAGGAATGTAATTTTAAAGCCCTTTATCAGTGATCAGTGAACACTCAAAACTCATATGGAAATTACATATCTGAAACACTTCAAAGCATTTGATACAGAATAGTTCATCTCTCTCCTGGTTTTCCTTTTGTCTGAGATTCTACTTTACATAATCTACACTCTCAAATACTAGTGTATTAAGAATTTATCTTTTAGGTAAGATATCATACAAAGTCCTGAAAAAGAATGTTCCTTTCTTTAAATCCATAAGAATAAATCAACACCAGAGAACTGCAACTATTAACATAACATTGGGGGGGAATCTGTCCACATACTAATTCAAAATAATTGATTTTTCCGACTCAGGCACTGCTGTCAGATTTACCTCCTGAATTAGAAGAGATGGATTTCAATCATACCTCACTGGAACCTGATGATACCTCACTCGGTGTATCTTCTTTGTCAGAGAAAAATGCCTCAGACTGTTTGTGATTTGAGGGGGATGATATATGACACAGCTTTTACGCTGACTAACAGGAGTGCATTCCAATATAATTGCATTCTGTTGCCCTGAAATTCTTCAATTGGAAAAACATATTGTTGAAACCAATATGTTCTGTGAAGAATGGATGAGATATAATGGCTACAGTACAAAAATTGTTTGTGAAATTTAAAAGCATATTTTGAGAGTTTTTCCCAAATTGATAGAAATGTGAGAAAATATTTAATTTTGAAGAGCTTAGCTATGAAATGCATAATGTATAACTTTTGAATTTTTTGTTTGGTTTTATAGAAAAATCTTAGTTTTAATAATAGCTTAGGCCAGAGACAAAATAAAAGTATTTCAACATTGCTTTATCAAATTACTGAAGCTTGATTATTGTCTTTGTAGTCATTACATCTTACTTCTTTCTCTCTCCTTTGCTAACATATACTTTTACTCAGGAAAGTGGACTGAAAATTGAAATGAAACTTGGAAAGTGATTTAACCTGTACGAGTCTTGGGATTATTTTTCAAGCCCTGTGAAATTTGATTTAAGTTAATGATTGAATATTGAAGTGATTATTAGTATATAATTGTAAATTGTTGCTATTCTTCTATTATCTAACCCAAACATTTCAGGGGAGGGAGCACTACAGAAAAGTAATTCACCAACATGAAGTTAAATAAATTAAGTGTACAGAAACAAAACGTAAAAGATTAGTCAATAGAAATTCTTCATCACTGAAAATGAAAAATATTGATATTCACATTTTACTAGTAGAATGGAATAACGGAATTACATAAAATGTTGCACAAATATTACAAGTTTATCATCATCTTCACAATAGTTTTGACTTCTTAAATATTTTATGAGACACAAAATCAAGGTAGGCCACTAAGATTATTATTTTAAAATATATTTTTATCGATTTCAGAGAGGGAGAGAATCATTGATTGGCTGCCTCATACACACCCCCTATTGGGGATTGAGCCTGCAACCCGGAAATGTGCCCTGACCAGGAATTGAAACATGACCTCCTGGTTCATAGGTCTATGCTTAACCACTAGCCATGCTGGCCTGGCAAGATTGTGTTTAATTTAGTCATTCAGCTTTGCCATAAAATTTACTTCATTTCCATGTGAGGCTTGCACAGAGCTATCAGCCAAGGATAATATAAAAAAAGAGTTATACCACTTTGGTTGTAAAATCCAATCTCCTGGATTTCCTGGATGCTCTTCTATGAGCACACTACCCATTTATTCTATTAGCAGGTACCAGCTGGTAACACACTGTAGACAATTTGCAGACCTTTCATTCTGGGTACCAGATGGCATCACCAGAGCCAATAAAAGGGAAAATGCCAGTTTCTCCCTGAGCACACAGTGTCATATATTTGTGGGTTGACAGTGTGGAATCATGTGCATGATTAAATTACTATCTACACATAAAAAATGTTAAAGAAGTAGCTTTCATGACTCTTCGTCATCAAGTTTCTATATCAGATAACTTTGTAATTTTTAAGAAAAACAATTTTGATCTTGGAATTCACAGATACCAATTTATGAATGCAGAAAGGTGGTCATTAATGCCTTTGACCTTGAAATGTCTCCTACCACACACACAAATAACTAAGGTTTATTGATAATTCTTCCTTTTATCATCTATTGATTTAATGTAATGTTACTGTCATCTTACTATGGTTCTTTTGTTAGCAGAAATATATAAATGGTTAGGTATGCTCCTGTTTAGCTGACAGCCATATGGTTCATTGCAAACAATGTTTAGTACTCCTTGATGACAAGTCAAATTTTATTCAGAAAAAAAGAGTGCTGAGTAACAATTGAACATCAGATATTAAGATTACATTTATCTGGTTTTTTGTTTTTACCAATTCTTCCATGAGATAAAGAGTCCCTACTATATACAGCAAATGTATAAATCATTTCTTAATGTAGCACGAACAAATTCCAGACCTTTAAGTTTCTCATAAGATTTCCTTCCTAATCACTGAGTTTAATTTTAAACTCTAATTTTATTCTGCTTCAATTTAAATACCTTCTTATTTGGTTCTTGTTACAAAGTAAGGAAAGATGATTTTTTTCCCTACATCTTTCAACTATATGGATTTTATTTGTCACATCTCAGCATTTAGTCACTAAATCAAATATTATTTGACCTCCTGCTTTAAGGACATTGGATTTTAATTCCTCAACAAGCCATAAACTTCAAAACAAATTATTTCTTATCACTTTTTCAGGTATATTAATACAGTTTATTTGACTATGAAGTTGAATAGATTTAAGGATTCTGCTAGGTGTGATTCCTAGAACCCTAGTCCACAATTTTGAGAGAAAGCATAGATGATTCCCTTGTCCCTATTTAAAGTTCCATTAAAAGAGAAACTGCATGTAGGGATCCTTTTGTTTTGGCATTTATACTTCATCACCAGAGTTATTTATTTTATCATCGCTGGAATTTAAACATTTCTAAAGTGAAATATGGTTATGCTAAAGCAGAAACCAAAGGAAATATCTGAATCCAGAAGGAAAAATCATAACAGGCAAGGTGTATGCCAAGGTGTCAAGTATTAAAAAAACACACACCTCTATTATGAAGAAAAATTGTTTCTTTCAGATTGGAATTGCTTTTGAGACATTTTAGTGGAGGAAAAACATCAGTTCGTGATTTCTTTTGTGAACGTCTTCATGACTAAGGGGAGAAAAAAACCCACTAGGGTTTCTTTTTATAGGACTGTGACTCAATAGTGAAACAGACCACACTATCTGAATCATCTCTCACAAAAACAAATGTTAACATGAAAAGCCATTTTTTTTTCTCTTTTACTTTGATGTTTGCTTTCAGTTTAGGACAGTCAACCAATTTCTAAGCAGGAAATATGCATCTAAGAGCACTTAACTTCCAAAATATATATTAAGATATAAAACAAACAAAAAATGAAGATACTGCCCTAACCGGTTTGGCTCAGTGGATAGAACGTCGGCCTGCGGACTCAGGGGATCCAGGTTCGATTCTGTTCAAGGGCATGTACCTTGGTTGCAGGCTCAAACCCAGTGTGTGTGTGGGAGGCCGCTGATAGATGTTTCTCTCTCATAGATGTTTCTCTCTCATAGATGTTTCTTACTCTCTTTTTCCCTTCCTCTCTGTAAAAAATCAATAAAAATATATTTTAAAAAATGAAGATACCTTTCTCATCTCAGCCAAGCTAAAATTATTCACAAGAAAAATAAAACTGCAGCTACTCTGGTAAATAGGAACATTAACACATGCAAGGAAAACTTAAAAGAAAATTGGCCTTTTATGGAACCTGGGAATGTTTTGTTGTAAGATCAGTTATAACAGCAGGACTTTTTTGTTGTTGTTAATTCTTACATTGATTATTTTTCCGTTTTTGGATATTTTTCCATTGATTTTTAGGTAGAATATAACAAAGGAGGAAAGACAGAAAGAAACATCGATGTGAAAGAAACGCATCGATTGGTTGCCTTCTGCATAGAGTCCCGCCCGTGGCCTAGGCCAGGGAGGAGCCTGCAACCAAGGTATATGCCCTTGACTTGATTTGAACCTGGGACCCTTTGGTCCACAAGCTGATGCTCTATGCACTGAGCCAAACCAGCTAGGGCAACAGTGAGACTTTTATACTACCATTGCAATCATGTGATAAGAAATGTTTATGATTGTTGGAGAAGAATAGTCTGCAGCCAAATCACATCCCATGCTCTGAATACTACCAACACTTCAAAAGATGTTCAAGAAGTCTTTTTTTTCCTAAGACAGCAGCATCTATTTCAAGGTACTCTCATAGTCAACAATCTGTAAGTTTGTAGGATAAAATGTAAGATGTCTATTTAAAAGAATTCTAGACTCTAAGATGGACTTTGTTGCCTTTTTTGAGGGGAAGGAGCATTTAGCCCATTTCCAAGGAAGTTTCCTAGTCTTAGCCTGATAGTTTATGATCATTTTTAAGAGACATTAACTGCTGTCCTTCCTACATGTTGCAGTAATGGTATACCAGGAATAATGTTTATTTTAAAATATATATTAGATTATCATTCATATCCTAAAAATTCCAGATTCTGATAAATTTGCCTTTTAAAAGAGTTATAAGAACCAGAGTGTCTAAACGATGGGTAAATAAGCTTATCTTTGAAGTTAGTGTTATCCTTGGCGGACAGTACTGTGTTATGCTCTTCACAAGCTATGCTCTGTTGATGATATAATGGAGGAACCAATTAACTTTTGAGTCTACAGCCAGAATACCATTGCCCAAAACAAATCTTTATTAATAACAGATTTGCTAAGGGGTAAAAGAGAAAAAAAGATATTTTCATGGAATATAATTATGATTGTTCGATTAAAGTATATACTGAGTATATTGTTCCACACTGAAATTTTATGTTGCATTCACTTGTTAAGTAATTAATTTTAGAAATCTTGCATCCCATTTTACTGGTACTACCTCTGAAACATACTAACACTTTAAAACCATATCAGACTCTAATGTAAACTTTTGTATGATTTTTTTTTTACTTTTATAGAGGCAATAAATGATTTCCAACTAACAGCCATCTATTGCTTTATTTTAATGTCTATTTTTTCAAGTTTTTGTGTTATAAGCACTGTATTCCTTTAAAAGATCATTTTTCCTCAGAAAAAAAAATAAGGGTCTGTAAAAAGACAAACAATGCTGAGAATAATAAAGTATCAGGGAGTCCAAAAAGGGATAATATGGAGTACTCAATTGGAAATTTGGTTTATTTCCAAGCTGACATATATATCATCCTTTATTGACTTTACTTACTAATTAATTACTACAACACCAATGAAATAGATAAACATTCTGTAACAGATTTGTTCATGGTATTATACCTAAATGGTTAAATCAGCAAGTAAATTGCCACAGTATAAACAAAGAATTATGTTTTACAGCTGATTTTTTAAAGTGGTGATACGGCATCTATCTTTAAGCTGTCTTTGACACCAGTTGAACAGGCTTTTAATTCGGGTAAAATACACCCATGCCTTTTTTCTCAATGTTTTATACAAATTAAAAGTCTTCATATTACTAATGGGGGATGATATGGGGTGAATTTCAAATAGCACATCAGCAGTTTTCCTTCCCAGTTGATAAATTTTCAAGAATGTTGCAAGAAGAGATACATATAAACATACACTTACAGTGATCCAAGTCTTTTTCAGATTTGTAAAAACATTGACGAAGTGGTGAAATAATTTGTTTTTAAAAATGAGTGGAAATCTTTATAAATCTATATAAAAGACAAGTCAATGGATGAGTATGATAAGATTAAATGAAGTTTCACATCCTTTAAGACAATTTTTTTTTACATTTCTTGTTTACATTTCACCATATTATGAAAGTAATAAATGTTCATTGCAGACATTTAAAAAATGTATTATAGATCATATATAGAAAAACAAGCCCTAGCTGGTTTGGCTTAGTGGATAAATCATCAGCCTGTGGACTGAAGGTCCTGGGTTCGATTTGGGTAAAGGGCATATGCCTGGTTGCAGCTCAATCCCCAGTAGGGGGTGTGCAGGAGGCAGCCAATCAATGACTCTCTATCATCATTGATGTTTCTATCTTTCTGCCACTACCTCTCCCTTCCTCTCTGAATCAATAAAAATATAAAAAATATAAAAATAAAAACAAAACCACTTGTAATCCCACCACCCAATAATAATCATTAACATCTTAATATATCACATTCTAATCATTTCGTGTGCATATTACATATTACATATATTCAACAAAACTAGAATTATACTGCATATGCAGTAATATGTCCAGCTTTTTCTCTCAATGATGTATCAGAGCATTTTCTCATGTAAGGATTTGTCACCAAGGTATTGCACTCTCAATTGCATTTAGTCCTAAAGGGTTTTTTGTAATTTACAAGGAAAAAGCAAACTTTCTAATGATGACAATATAGCTGGTCTAGAGGACTGACAAATAACTACATACATTACATAAAACTATATTTCTTACCCTATATTTAAAACAAATTATGTTATTTCTTTACCGTCACACAAATAAAGTTCCTCTATTTTGGCTGCAAGTTACAAGATAGCTTTCCTTAATATTTTTATCCAAGTACCATTTTTATTATCTGCACCAGTAAACTATTATAAACTTTAAAAATAAAACAAAAATCATGTTTAGGTATGAAAGATCTCATATTAGGTACACCGTTATGTATTTGCAATAGTGACTGTGTTGAAGTCAGAACACGTTTTCAAATTTTTCCTAATATGATTATTTCTTTTCATTATAGTGTTTTGTTTCATCCAGTTTGTAAGTTTGATAAATTTTGCCAATTCTGGATTTTCTGTAAAATGACAACATTTTATTATGTAATCCTATCTAATAAAAGAGTAATATGCAAATTATCACTCTGCTATACCCACAAGCCATGCCCACCAGCCAATCAGAGCTAGTATACAAATTACCCCCAACCAAGATGGCTGCAGCCACAGAGAGCAGGAGAGAGGCTTGGGTTTCCCTGGCAATGGAGAAGTCAAGCTTTCTACAACCTGGCCAACCCAGGCCTCCACTCAAGGGTACAAAGTTTCAATTTTAGAAGGTAAATAAATTCCAACAGAAATGGCAGCAGCCACGGAGCTGGAAGAGTGGAAGGCTAGGGCTGCCCTGGGCAATGGAGGAAGCCAAGCTTTCACAGCCCTGGCCAGCTCAGGCCTTCACTCCAGGCTACAAAGTTTCAATTATAGAAGATACATAAATTCCAACAGAAATGGCTGCCTCCATGAAGCAAGCAGGAAGCTTGGCTCCGCTCCAGTCTATAAAGTTTCAATTGTAGAAGATAAGTAATTCCCAGATACCAGGGCCTCCGCTTGGGTGACCAGAAGGCCTAGCTGGCCTGAAAACCACTATAGGCCTCTCACCCAGGCTGCCCTACACCCCAAGGAAACCCCCACCCTGATCCGGGACACCCTTCAGGGCAAACCAGCTGGCCCCCACCCATGCACCAGGCCTCTATACTATCTAATAAAATAGTAATATGCAGACTGACCATCACTCCAACACAAGATGGCTACCCCCATGTGGTCAAAGATCCTGCCCCCATGTGGACACAAGATGGCACCACAAGATGGCACCACAAGATGGCCAGCAGGGGAGGGCACTTGGAAAAGACCAGGCCTGCAAAGGAGGGCAGTTGTGGGCAATCAGGCAAGCAGGGGAGGGCAGTTGGGAGGCTCCAGCTCTGCAAGGGAGGGCAGTTGAGAGGGACCAGGGCTGCAACTGAGGGCAGTTGGGGGCAATAAAACCTTCAGGGGAGGGCATTTAGGGTTGACCAGGCTGGCAGAGGAGGGAAGTTGTGGGCAAACAGGCTGGCAGGGGAGCAATTAGACATCAATGAGGCTGGCATGGGAGTGGTTAAGGGGTGATCAGGCTGGCAGGCAGAAGTGGTTAGGGGCAATCAGGAAGGAAGGCAGGCAAGCATTTGGGAGCCAGCAGTCCTGGATTGTGAAAGGGATGTCCCAGATTGAAGAGAGGAGTGCAGGCTTGGCTGAGGGACACCCTCTAACCCCCATGCACGAATTTCATGCACCGGGTCTCTAGTATTATATATACTAAAATTATTATATTCAAGTATCTCCTTTGTGACCTAAGCCACATGAAACTCTAATCTTTCCCAATACTTTGGTGACTCTATAATTAAAAATTAGATCTTTAAAGAGACTTATTAATATTTTTCTCAAGCTGTTAGGAGACCATTGGATACACCGTTTCAATAAAGTTGGAACTGGTATCAATAATGCTTGTTAGCTTAAATTGGATATGGCACAGTTCTGAAACTAGTCACAGGTTGAGTTTCCATTCAGATTGTTTAAACAAAGGGGGGAAAGCCTCTGCTATAGGACCACCACATTCCTGTGTTGCTTACCTTGTCTTATAGTCT